TGGTTCCCCTTCTACCGAGATGTCCATATAAACCAAGCCCGGCTGGGGCATAGCCTCCTGCCCTTGACCGACTACCGGAGGTCTCGGCATCGTCATCATGGACGAGTTGTCTCCAGGCGGAGGGGCTGTTAATGGGGTGGCAGATGGGGTGCTGCTCCACCAACACCGTAGGGGGTGGCCCCTGGGCCTGGTGGTAAGCCCAGGGCATCCAGAATGGCCACTGGGGTTGCCCCTGCCACTGCTGCTGGTCTACCGATTCCCGGTGAGATGATCTAACGGATGAACGAGACCTATGACGGGATCGAGACCTGTACGATGATCTGGCTGTCGTCACCGATTCAGCCTCAGACTCCGATGAATACTCCGAAGCCGACCGGGGGGGGGCCCGATGAAGCCTGCTCCCTTCGCTGTGCCGCCATGGCCGATGGCTTGCCCCTGTGCTCCGTACGCGGTGCCGGTGGGGGCATAAGCGGAGGCCCTTGCTGCAGCGGTACCGTGCCCAGCTGCATCTGGTAGGCCGGTAAGTAACCCACCGGTGCCGCCACGTGCTGCGGCACTGCGGTATGCTGCTGCGATGGCACTCCCAGGGTGTAAGCTGGTATCGGTGCCAGGAGAGGCAGCAGCGTCGTTGCCATGCGGGGCACCAGCTGTGGTGCCGCAGGTAGCGTATAGTACGGTGCGGGGCCCTGCACTGCCCACGGGCCCGTCTGCGGTACTGGTCCCTGCACCGGTGCCGGTGCCGTCGGTGCCGCAAGCGCACTCGCTCCTGGTGCCACTGCCAGTGCCGACTCCGGTGCCGGTGCCCTTGCCGGCACCAGGAAATGCTGCTGCTGTCTGCTGCTGGGCCGAGGCCTGCCCTTCGCCCAGAGGGTCCCACGACCCGGCCATAGCCTGCTGGGGGGCACTTAAGGCCGGTGCCGGCGCGGTCCGCTCCTGCGGCACCGGGCCCTCTCCTTCATCCACAGCCATGTGAATGAGGTCCTAGGCTGCCTCAAAAGTTTCTAGGGTGGAGGGCCGACGGACCTCTCCTAGCCCCACGGGCTGCCCCGGGCTCTTGCCCTTGTCTGGGCTGCGCCTCTTCTTCGAGGCCTTAGAAGATAGGTGCCCCTCCTTAGGGCGCACCTTCTGGGCACTCCTCTCTGCAGAGCGTCCCCTCGAGCTCTTGGAGGCCCTCGGCACCGGGGACTGCGATCTGTGTCTCGGTGCCTTGTCGGTCTCAGGTCAGTGCTTGGCCGACACGGGTGCCGCCGACAGTGCGCTGCGGACAGAGTGAGGGCGCTCCTCGCCCTGGGACTGCAGTGCTGACTCCATTAACAGGAGTTTCAGCCGAGAGTCCCTCTCCTTCTTGGTCCGGGGCTTAAAGCTCTTACAGATAGCGCAGCTTTCGGCTCAATGATCCTCTCCCAGACACTTTAGACAGTCGGAGTGAGGATCTCCGCAGGACATAGGTTTAGAGCAGGAAGCACAGGGTTTAAGGCCCTGGCATGCCCTCCCCTCATGGGGAGAGTCCCGCTGTGCTCCCCTATCTAACTAATTACATTATTTACAACACTTAACTACTTAACTAGATAAAACTTCAATTAGAACTATAATACAACGGATAAAGAGATACAGCTGCTAAGAGATAGGCTAACAGCCTGAAAGCATGCTCCAGCTACCGTCACGGGCGGTAAGAAGGAACTGAGGGGCTGGAGGGGCCAGCGGGGTATATATGCACCAGTATACCGGCGCCACTCCAGGGGGCTCCCTGCTGGCCCTACGCAGTCTTCTCTTTTCTAAACTAAACAAGCCCAATTCTTTCAGTCTTCCCTCATAGCTCATGTTCTCTAGACCTTTCATCATTCTTGTTGCTCTTCTCTGGACCTTCTCCAGTTTCTCCACATCTTTCTTAAAATGTGGTGCCCAAAACAGGACACAATACTCCAATTGAGATCTAATCAGCGCAGAGTAGAGCAGAAAAATGACTTCTTGTGCCTTGTCATGACATGACATCGCATGTGTGCACAAGAGATCTCCAACTGTCCAAGGAAGACTGATGATCCGTCTTGGAGACTCCGTGCTAAGAAGAAGAGAGAGAATATTCTGCAAGAGACAACAGGATGGTGTGCAGTCTTCTTAGAGATAAGATGCAAGATGTCAGTCCAAGATTGGTTGGGGATCTGAAGTCCATAGACCAGGAACTATTGGTGGTGATGCATGCCAGCACTAATGACAATGCTTTGGATTGCTTGGTCCTGGCTCGCACTGAGTCCAGCAGCCCCTGTTCTTGGCAGCTAACCCTGTCTGCCGTGAACAGAGGCTGCTCCGACACCAGCCCATGTTCATGGCAGCCAGGGCTGGCTGTGCACAGGGGCTGCTGCTGGAGCAACTCCTGTGCATGACTGGCCTGGGCCGCCGCAAACAGGGGCTGCTTGGCGGCAGCAGCCCCTGTCTGCAGGAGGGGCCAGCTCCCCACTGGGACCCCGCAAAGAGGGGCTTCACAGCAGCCTCCTGTCCTGATAGAGGCAGTGGGGGGAGGGAGGGATGTAGCAGGCAGCACCAGCTCCTGTTCCCCCTCCCCTTGCTGCCTTTCAGAGACAGCAGTGGGGGAGGGGAAGCGAGTAGTTGATACTCCTGTCGACTACCCAATAAGCTTATGTCAATTCCTCGCTAACATCCCTAATAAGGACCTACATGTGGCAGAGCAATTTAATAAGAAAAAGCTCTGAAATCTAGCATACATAGGTCTAAAGACTGGAAATTGAAGCTAGACAAATTCCAATGTGAAATAAGGCACACATGTTTAAACAGTAAGGCTGATTACTCATTGGATCAGTTTATCCAGGAGTATGGTGTATTTTCCAGCACTGGAAACTTTAAAATCCAGATTGGGTGGTTTTCTAAACAAACATGTTGTAGTTCAAACAGGAATTAATTCATGTATATCCTATGGCTTGTGTTAGGTAGCAGGGCGGACTAGATTGGTACAATGGTCCCTTCTGACTTTAAAACCTATGACTCTCACAGGCCTAGCTAATTTAGCCAAAGGAATTTAGCACTAAATGACAAACTACGAGATATATTTTGTCCTCAGAGCCATACCACTGTCAATGGAAACTGCACACACATCTGAGAGCCACAGCTGGTTACTTACAATCATACTAAATAAATAAATGTGTCAGTCTTTGAAGTGCCACAGGACTCCTCATTGTTTTAATCAAAACAACAACACATTACATCCAATTTGTAGTTAACTACATGGAAGTCAGTGGAGTAAATCAGTGATAGATAGATTTCTTTACTACAGCTGTATGCAGAACTTCTTTATATATAAAAAACACTTAATATTCTGCCTAGCAAAGGTTTTCACAATGGCAACTGAATATTTGTATTACTGCTATAAACGGGTGAATGGCTGCAGTATGTTTCTCCTGGGTTTGCAGAGTTTACATTAGTGCAACATGAAGTACTTCTTACAGACACAAGAGGGCGAGTTCAATTGTATTTTTCTTTTTGCTATGTCAATTCCATCTATGCATAGTCAACTGTACCAGAATACTAAATAGCAGCAGATTATTGACATTCATTTATATGCAGCCATTTTCTAAAGCAAAGATGATTGTTTTCATCATGTGCCAGGATATGTAAAGAAACTTATTTGTCTGTCAAAATATTTACTGTAAGTAAACAAGATAATAATCACAGAGCTCACTGAATTAATGCGGTGAATCCTGTAACTGGGCTATGAGCTAGCATTACTCATAGGAGTTGTCTGACTGGACGCATGAAACAAGTCACCTTAATATTTGCAGGCTCTGAGCATTAGCCTGAGGTTTGAAGTCAATCAAGATAGACGCAGCTTGCCTCCAACCTGGTTCAAGTAGGTTCCATTAAAAAAAAAAAAAGCAATATTGCAGCCAAGTTCTGCTTCACACTCACTCAGCATTGCTAGTGTTTGCCACCCAGATATTACCAGCAGGATCTGGGAAGGAATCTGGGATGCCGGAGGGGGCTCAGGGCTGGTGGTGCGGGATGCAGGAGAGCACTGTGGACTGGGGCTGAGGAGTTGGGAGCATGGGAGAGTGCTAGGTTGAAGCAGAAGGTAGAGGTGTGCGAGGGGTCTGGCTGGAAGTGCACCCTTTGCTGGGTATGAAGAGTTTGGGCTTTTGGAGGGGGCTCCAGGCTAGGGCCACAGAGTTCAGATTGTGCTAGGGGGAATGGGCTCTGGAAGAAAGTTTGGGTGCAAGAGGGGGCTCAGATTTGGGACAGAGGGTTGGGGCACAGGAGGAGATTCCGGTTCCAGGCAGTATTTAGGTCGGCTTCATTAATAATTCTGTAACTGTGGACAATTTAAGGATTAAGCCAACAGCAAGGATCTGAGAATGGTAAAGGGCATTTTGTTGGTTATCCAGCGTGCATCGTGGCCATGCATATTTCACAAAGTATGGCTTTTCAGAACTGCATTAGTCATGCGGATCTTATTAGCAACATGGAAACTGCTGTTAAAAAGATAATTTCCCCTCCACAGTTTGGCAAAGCCTCCCGTGGCTGCCAAGACCACCAGTTATGGAGTTTCGAAGATAAGGTAGGAAAAACATCACAGAAGTTGAGCACACCTTTGTTTTCACACTTTTGTCTTTTCCAAGCTTTTTCAGATTTGATTAAACCTTTCCAAAAAAAGTTTTAACCTGAGTAAGGCAATGGTTCATATGAAATGCACGTGGTTCCATTTAATCAAAAGACAAGGTGGGGCCAAAATTAACAGGAATCTAGTTTCAATGTTAGCCAGACACTACCTTCTTTACACAAAAAGAAAGTCATTTAGTGACTTTAAATCCCCCCCCCACACACACACAAGATTAAACTCATATCCCCCCCCCCACACACACACACACAAGATTAAACTCAGTTTTGGAGTCTAATCTCTGCAAAAATCTGAACCCCCAATATGGAACAATCATTTTTCTAAGCCAGAAAATCTAAAATACAGTATTTTGCAAAAAAACAAAACACAACAAAAATATCAAAGAGCAATTTTATTTAGCATATTTGGCACGAAGCTTACAAGAACTGTTTTGTTCCCATCTCAAACACAACTAGCAAGAAAAAAGGCATATAATACATTTAGTAATTTGAACGGCATGTAAAATATGGGGGGGGAGGGAAGAGGCACCAGAAAGATCTATCAAACAAAATCAAAGTGCATGAAAAATATTTACTCCAAGTGCCTCCTCATATTAATTAAGGCACCACTACTCTAGAATGTTTACTGGATACTCTAAACGTACAACTCCTTGTTTTTGGAATGTACAAGTCCTTAACTTTACTTGGTCTAGGACCTGAATGCCACAGTTCTTTAAAATGGAATGATTTTGTAAATATGAAATGGGGAGACTTTCTGCTCAACGTAACTTCTTTGTGGATGAAAAATTTGTCATTATCCTTGCCTTGAAAAGGTAAGGCAGAGGAACTAAAAGTATAAACTAATATTTAACCTTTTAATAAATTTAGATCTTAACATACACAAGCGCTTAATGATTTTAAAATTTTTTAAATGATTTTATCACAAAATATCACTGCAAAACACAATATCTGGTACTGGAAAAATGCATGGATCATTATAGCAAATTTTCAAGCCTTTTGGCATACATTAAATCCAGTATCTGAAATAATGTTTAATTATTATAAATATATGATTCAAGTGAATATTATAGCAAATCTTCTTTTGGATCACTTACTAGGTCTGCAAATTCCAGAGGCATTTAAAACATGTAGCAACACCCAATGTTAAACAGTTATGGTGGGGTTTCTTTGTTTTGTTAAGATTCCGCAAAGCTAGCAAGAAATAAAGATGCATTGGCTTTTGAAGACAAATAGCTCAGTCTAACAGATTAAATTTATTCATTTGCCTTTTAAAATATTACAGCCAAACAGTAAGAACTACATTAATGTTGATAACTTGTCATAATAATTCACAGGTATATGTGCAATAGTGAAACATGGTGTTTTAAAAGTAAAGCAAAGCCTATTTAGATTGGTGATTTACAGAACACCATGAATCTTAAATATTCAAAAGAAAATCAGCTATTTTCATGTCCCCTTATATTTTAAAAGGGACTATTTCTATAGAGCTAAACAGCAACTGAGGCTCTGAGAACAGGGCCACATTTACATCTAGGGTAAGCCATTTCCATAAATGGAATCGAAGTTGTACCTGAGTACACCAGATCTGAGTTTGGCTTAGTTGAGTCATTAATCTCCTTTACCAGTTATCAAAAATTAGTTGACAGATGAATGTCAGTATTTAAATTCTAATGGGAAAGAATAAGAGAGAACTATCGTGTAGAACTGTTGTTCAATTCCTCTATTGTAGAGGGAATGAAGAAATCTCAAAAGTTTGAGACTGTTTAACCTGAATTTTGGGAAAAACAAAACAATTTCTCCATGGAGATACAAAGGCATGTATCTATGAACCCTAGGCAGTACAATGAATTTCAGGTTTTGTAAACCTCAAGAATACAACTGTATGCACCATTAACAAAAATAAAAATAAAAACAAAAAAAACAGCCCTCTTCCCCCAACCCTCTAGTACTACAAATCCTAACCATTAAGGGCAGAAGGTGGCATCAGGAGATCTAATGCAGAACATGATGGTTCAGAAGATACAGAGACCAGTTCAGTTGTATATGACACTGTACCTTTTCAGGTTAGTCTGGACTTTCCCTAAAGCCTTTGCCTCAATGTAGAACTGAAGCTTTCATTAACCCCTTCACCCCTCAATTATTTGCTACATGTAAAATATGCCACAAAGTGATTGATTGGGACTAACTACATAAGAATATTTCCTTTCTGTCCTCTATTAACACAACTACAATCAGCATAAAGAAAACTGTATTTACCCAAATCATTTATTTCATGATTTATATGTAGATCATGTAGCAACTTAGTATCTGTGATTGTGCACTTGTGCTTCTGTTCTCTGGCACTTTGTTGAGGAAAAATTAGTGTCTGGAGAATCACATCTTGCTGAAGCACTCTTTAGCATTTGTCCAAACTTGAATTCCCTTTATTTAAAAAAAAAAAAAAAAAAAGGGTTTTTTTTGCTTTTCTAAACAAAGGAGCCTTGCAACAAACAAACATACCAAGTTTGCATACAACTGCATGATTAAAGTATACAGGTAAACTCCCACTGATTAACAGGAACTTTACATATATAAAAGATGGGAAAAGATTACAGGATTTGGTCCACACCGTTTAGTGCATACTGTTACCAACACAGGAGATTCTCAATTGATACCATCTACATTTTTTGTTAGTCTCTAAAGTGCTGCAGGTCCATTCGTTGTTTCAATTTTTTTTTCCAGTGACGCTATGTCTACACAGCAGTATTATTTCGGAATAACTGTCGAAATAAAGTTGAACTGGAGGACTGCTTACTCCGACACCTGTAACCCTATTGTATGAGGAGTAAGGGAAGTCAGGGGAAGGAGGGTTTTCTCTTGAAATAACCGGAGGTCTCTTGAAATAACTGCTGAGTAGATAGCACCAAAAGTCAAAATAAGCTATTTTGACTTAAGTTACATAATTAGTGTAGCTAAAGTTGCATAGCTTATTTTGAGTTTAGCCCTGCAGCGTAGACATGCCCTTACAGACTAACATGGCTACCCCGAGTCTCTTAACTTCAGTGCATGCTGGGAAGAGAGAGAGGAGGCAGCAAGGATATGGCATCTTACATGCACGATGGACTACACTGTAGCTCCTAGTCAACTGATCTCCAGCCTCCTGTGATAGCAGTTCTCCCATTTGTTACAGACCTACATCTGGGTCACCTACTACCATGTATATAGATGTCCTGTCTGTCAGAAGCAAAACCTACCTTTTTGCACATACTAATCTGCATCACAGCGTAATTTATGAGGGCCTCTTTCAAGTCATGATTCTTTTGCTCTTTGAAGCGCTCAATATCTGCCCAGGCACTTTTCACAAACTCTCTGAAAATAAAACAATATTGTTTTGTCAATGTGTTTAAAAAAAATACTTAATATATATTATGGGCCCAAGCCACCTGCTACTGAATTAACTGGGAGGAGGACTGTGCCTTTATCAATACCTGAAGTTCTGCACTTTCATAGTCTACAAGTTGGATCATAGAAATTACTCTGCATCTTGGATGGCATCCTCATTGAATAATTCTACTTGCTCTAATACTGGAGTAATTCACCTAGTTCTTCAGAGATTGTTTAGTAGCAAATCATACAGTTTTTTTAAATAATTGGAGACCTTCACAGACAGATCCGAATGAGGTTATTCTACATGGTCACAGAACTAAATGAATAATAAATTTATATTCAGATTTTGCCAGGTTTGTTAAATACTTTTGTGCCAGTGCTCTGGTGAGTGGCTTCGGGCCTCAGTGTACTCTTACATCATCTCATTTTCTCTGAGAATCCTGGAGTAGGCCATCTTAAATGCTTGTGGCAAATAAATTTTAAGTCAGTAATGTACAACTGCTTGGATGTTTGTAGAAAATGAACACAAAAAGGATACTAGCGTAGCTGAAGCAAATTAATTTCAGAATAGAATATTTCCTTTTCCTGTTTGTCTGCAATATTTCCCTCCACTCTACTTAACCAAAGCAGGGGCAAATCCAGACACTAAAATAACGCACAGCTTACTGCTTGTACTGGATTGCACAAGCTAGATAAGTATTCATTTGAAAACTGCTGCCTGAGCTATTAAAGCAGATGTCCAGCGCTTCTGTCAAGATGATTAAGGAATTCCATTTACCATGTCCTAATTTCTATTGAGTATTTTGTTGTTTTGAACTCTGTATGAACTAGTCTGTTTCTTATCTTTTGGTATGTAAGAATTACAGCTAACAGATAGCATACTCATCTTTCCTATAATAAAAACAAATGTGTTCTGACACAAAAACATTGGTTTTAGAATGTCAGCTCCTATTAGTTAGAATACTAAGAATCAGTCGGTCATTCAAATATAGCTTGCTAAAACCCTTTACTCAAATTTAGGAATTCCATTTACTCAAACAGCAGTCAACTATCTTTCATGCAAAACATTCTAAGGAATTATTAGCTCCAATATCAGAAGCCATGTTTATAGACTAAAATTACATCTGAATTCTATATTCAAGTAGCCATTAGAAAGCTTAAAGCCTTGTTTGCTTACAGTCCACCTGTTAAATATATTACCAGCTGAACATGAAACAAGGAATCAGCCATTAAATGGAATTCAGTGACTGGAAAAGAGATCAACTCTTACAAAAACTACTCCCATAGATGAGGAGCTAACCGAGTGTACTGTACTTTATTTCACAACGTGCAAAAGACAAGAATTTTTATAGACAGCTCATAAACACCGAGGATATATGGAAAACTACTATAAAATACAAACACCTTTATGAACATAATTTATGATTTTTACGAACACTTTGTTTTGAACACATCAGCTCCTTTACCTGCCCTCCACGTTTTTAGATTTCAGTTGTTCTTCCCCTTCATGTATTTGTTCTTCAAGCACTTTTATTTTGCCTTCCCTTTGCTCAGGAGTTTCCTGACCAAACAGTTTGCTTGTCATTCCCTTCAGAGAAAATGTTCTCACAGTCTAAAAATCAAACAGAAAAAATACTCTAAGTGATTTGTTCCAATAGAATAATTAATATTGGCTGGCGGAGTTCTCACACGGACATCATAAAGGGCTCTTCCACTGGAAAAATGTACTACTGCTAGGTGGATGAAAGAGATGTGGAAGTTCAAATTAAAACCAATTATTAAACAAATCTATATTAGAACATTTTGAATAAATAGGAGTTATCTAAAATGTCACAAAGTCACTAACCTCTTCAGAAACCGCCTTCAGATTTCATTGTCATATGTAGTACATATTGAACCTCTCTAGTCTGACACTCTTCTGGTAGGGCAACATCCATGATTTTAGTTAGCCAGATGCCCACTTTTTCATGGGTGTGGCCAAGTTTCCTGCAGTCACATACACTTTGTTTACAGCTACCAGTTCTGGCTCTCAGTGTTCTGTGGTGTTATTTAGCTCTTGTTTATTCCTAAATGACTTGTAAGAACCCAGAAATCAGGGGAAGTATTTAATACTGACAGACAATATTGATCTCCTATGGTTTGGCACTAGTCTGGTACGAAGGGTGCTGGTTTAGAGAGGCTCAACCTCTATTATAACCATGTTATTAGAGACACAAGGTGGGCAAGGTAGTATTTTATTGATCCAACTTCTGTTGGGGAGAGAAATGAACTTCCAAGCTTATACAGAGTTTGTCTTCAGGTTTGGGAATGTACTCGAAGAAGAGCTCTGTGTAAGTGCAAAAGCTTGTCTCTAACAGAATTTGGTCTAGTAAAGGTATTACTACGCCCACTTTCTCTTCTAGTAACGTGACAGATATGATTCTTATGGCTTGACCCACTGACCAGTGAACTAAAAGGAATGACTCCCATTGACTTTAATGGGCTTCACAGTGGACCCATATTTAATGAATTTGTATTCAGACACCAATTTCTAATCTTCAAGTAATATTACTTATGTTAAATAAAAAATTAAATAATTCCACATTAAATTAACTTTAGCTGTAATTGTTCACGCTGTTTATTCACCTTTCATAATAAATGAAAAAATGAAGCTTAAGCTTTTAAAAAGGTACAAAGATTTTCCCCCAAAAGACTGTAATTAACCAGAAACTTTGATCTTTGTCGTATTCTACTACTGTATTTCATTTCACTTGAAACACTTCAGATCACCTTAACTGCATGCCTGTACTTGCTAGGACTTTCTAAAAAAAAGCCCGGGATAAACTGTCTAACTCACCATGAAAATAAGTTACAGTACCCCACTAAAAGATCTATATGTCATATGATACTTGTTATCATAACCAGCTGTCCATATGCTGTTAGAATGACATCTAAATGGCATTTAACTTGGTTAGCGCTCTAAAAAAAAATTTAAGTCTTGAGGAAGAAAATGGAAAAACAGACTCACTCCTGTTGCCAGTTCTTCACACTGCTGTTTCTTAGATGCCAGGTCCTGAACAGCCATTTCCAAGTCATACTGCATTAGTTCATGTTTCCTGCAAACTGCCCTAAAAACAATCAGTGAACGATTTGTCATGTAAACTTTGTCTTGCTACCTTTTTACCCCCTTCTAAACTTAAAAAAGGTACAAGTGTTCCTTTTTGCATACATTGTGTTCAGTTATTTATCCAGCCTGGATTTAATCACCCTATAACAATAAATATAACTCTCTGCTAGATTACAACGTTTCTGGCGTGTTAGTGACTTTCTAATGCAGTGACCCTAAGCATAATTTCCTGCTAACTCATTTTCTTAGACCAAGATTTTATATAAAAGATAAAACCAACCTATAAGGCAGTGTTTCTTAGAGCAGTCCACGGATCCACTCTGAGAAACCTGCTAACTGGCTGCTGCAATTTGTTTATTTACCAGCTCCGCAGCCATGGAGCCTCATGGCTCCCATTGTCTTCAGATCGCCGGGCCGCCAGTTAGCAGGTTTCTTAGAGTGGATCTGCAGACCACTTTGAGAAACACTGGTCTAAGGACTTCCTTGTAAAATAGTTTCATTTAACACCAGGGAAAAATTCCAACTGCAACAAAGGGTTTACATGACATTTTGGACACTGACTATGATACAGGCAAAGATGCACATTAAATTTAGGAAAATGCCTTCCATTGTAACTTAGTTCAGAGAGTCAAAATTGCTTGAGTATACTACATTATTTTTGTTTGTAAAAAATGATACTGTGCTTAAATTTATATAGTGCCTTTCATAAGGATCCCAACATGTCTTTCAAACTGTACAAATGGATTTTCAAACTCGAGTATTACCACCTCCTTAGTGAATGTGGTAACATAGCAGGAGGACAAAGTACTTGAGGACAGGAAGGAGTACTAGGGGAAGTTAGGGAGGCAAAATGTAGCCATCACAACTGGAAGTTATAGTTTTAAACAGCTGTAAGTTGTCAGAGCCAAGGCAGGGCAGCTGACAGCCTCGCTAGGATCCTGGGCAAGGTGTGTGTGTGGGGGGGAGAGAGCGAGCTCTGTGCTCCTGGAAGGGAGGGGGCCTTGAGCCCCAGGCTCTGGTACCTAGCAGTGGTGGCAGTCGTCCACTTTGCTCTCCTGTTGGCAGGCCTGGCCAGAGCTTCTCTAGTGTCTCATAATGGAAGATGGCACCTCCAACAGAAGATTGTACTAGAGCAATATGCTGAGACATTGATTCAAAGAGATGAACACAACTTAACATACAACATTACTTCCAATAGCACCTGGATTTTGACGGGAGGTTCTATCATTGAATTACTAACTAGCTCAGCTATATTCAACTCTGATTGACTCACTGGGCAATGTAAGATGGAAGCAAATAAAAGATACAAGGGATTTGGAGGCTTCAGAATGTAACTGTAATGTTTTCTCCAGAAGCAAAAACTGTAAAGACAGAAGTCAGTGGAGCATGTCCCAAAATAAAGCAACAGAAGTACAGGGGTTCTACTCTTTGAACTGTATGTTAACATACTTACCGCAGAGCTTCTGCATAGAAAAGATATTCCTTTAGCTGATCTGCATAATGCTCTTCTTCTTCTAATATATCATCAATAGAAGCTGCATATCTGGTAAAGTACAACCTTTGGTTAAACACAAGACTTCCTGAGTTAGCTTCTTAAATGATATAAATACTGTAAAAGGGAAAGAACCCTATTTCTTAGCACAATCATAAAAGTTACCTTAAGAGTGCTCTTCATTGCTGAATTTAAAAGATATATTTTAATGCTGAAAAGACTAATATAAACACTCCTGAAGGTCTGTTTCCTAAGCTATTACTACAATGAAGTAATAAATCTTACAACAGTCAAATGTTTTTGCTGAAGAAGAGGCCATTTTTATTATAGGAAAAGGGAAAAAAACTGGCTAAAGAAATTTATTCTTTTTCATCAGTGATTTTCAGCAGGCAGTGGCAAAGTGAAAAATATTTATAACAAATTTCCTAAAGAGCATAGCATCTTTAAGGTTTGGTGAAGTGAACCTGATGCCTTCTAAAATGCTACAAGCAAGATTTAAGAGGGGGTTTTCACTTGATTCTCAGTCAACAGTCAGGGGAACAATGGCATTTGAGAGTCCTCAGCACACTGCAGGATCAAGTCTTTTGTACTTCCTTAAGTAGCAAGTCCAGCAACCTATGTTGCACAAATAAGAATGCCAATTCAGACTAGCAGTTATACACGCCAAGACTTTTAGGAAAGGATTTTCTAAAGTACTCAGTGTTGCCCTTATTGTGTCCACTCTAGTCACGAAGTATTTTATTATTGCTCCCACTGCCTTCAGTGGAGCAGAGTTAGGCTGAGGCTAAGACATTTCTGAAAAATCCCAACCCCTACTGCATGTTGCAGAAAGTGATTTTTGGATTTACCATCACTTTCAAAGGTAAGAAGTGTTGTTTGACAGCTTTCAGTGGACTCGCATGGTTTGAAAAAGGTTAGCATTTTTAAGCATGCTTAGGGACAGACAGCTCTGTAAAATGGTTACTGCACGTACCTTCTCGTGTACGTTTTGAGTTATATCTGGTTGGCCTACTGACAGAAATAAGCTTTTACTATTGTCAGCAACAGAGCCAATACAGCTGGGAGGAATGAGATGTGTTATAATCCGCCTCCTGTAGCATCAACAAAACCAACTAAGTTTGGATTCTAGAGTCTTTGTTGCAAAGCCTAAAGCAGAAAGTATAAAATAAAACCCTAAATGACAACAATATGTAAGGAACAAGACTGTGCCAATCCCCACCACATTCTTTGTTCTCGTGTTATTCCTTATATCCAGCACTTCATCTGTGACTTTCACACTGTAAGATCTCAGGGACTCCCCTCTCCTACCTGGGTTTGTGAAGCAACCAATACAAAAAGGACTTCTGGGCACGTGTCACAGGGTAAACCATCTTCATACCAAGCACTACCCAGGCCTGTTTTTCTTCCTAAATCATGGGACTTTGGGGGGGCAGGTAGTGGGTGAAAAAGCCAGGCTTGCTGAGATATGCAAGTGACAGCCTCAGTAGGGAGGCTCTCCAGTAACTGGATCTAGGGGAAAACTGGTAGTGGCTCCCAAGCTGAAAGGGAGCTGGAAGTGGGATCTGGAAGAGAGCTGGGAGTTCCTCTACTGAGATTCCTGTAAGAAACAACTGTGGCCGCTAGGTCTATCCTGTCAAGGGATTGGGTAATGAGCCTGAGGGGAGAATATAGTTCTCCCCCACATCACCTTCAGGTAGGCTATCTGCAGTTTCTAGTTGGGGGAGTGTGGAACCCTGAGGAGAAGACAGGTATAGGAACCCCTCTTGCTCAAACCAAGTGCTGGAATATAGAATAAAAAAAATGTAGGGCCGGTAGAGGTCCTTTAGTTCAGCCCCATGGAGGCAGTCATCTTACTCCTATACCATCCGCGAGAGCTGTTTGTCCAACCTTTTCTTAAAAATTTCTAATGACTGGGATTCTACAACCTTTCTTGGAAGCCTACTCCACAATAACCATCATAATTAGAAATTTCTTTCAACTTAAATCTTCTTTGCTGCAGATTAGGCTCTTTACTACTTGTCCTATCACCAGTGGACATATGGAACAAATGATCACAAACTCCTTTCTTAGAACACTAGAACCGGAAGGGACCTTGAAAGGTCCCTCACAGCAGGACTCAGTACCATCTAGACCTTCCCTGATAGATGTCTTTCTAACCTGCTCTTAAATATCTCCAGGGATGGAGACACCTCAACCTCCCTAGGCAACTTATCCCAGTGTTTAAACACCCTGACAGTTAGGAAGTTTTTCATAATGTCCAACCTAAACCTCCCTTGCTGCAGTTTAAGCCCATTGCTTCTTGTCCTATCCACAGAGGCCAAGGAGAACAATTTACCCCCCTCCTCCTTGTAACACCCTTTTAGATACCAGAAAACTGTTATCATGCGCCTTCTTCTCCTTTTCAAACTAAACAAGCCCAATTCTTTCAATCTTCCTTCACAAGTCACATTTTCTAGACCTTTAATCATTTTTGTTGCTCTTCTCTGGACCTTCTCCAGTTTCTCCACATCTTTCTTGAAATATGGTGCCCAGAACTGGACACAATACTCCGACTGAGGCCTAATCAGCGCAGAGTAGAGCGGAAGAATGACTTCTCATGTCTTGCTCACAACACTCTTGTTAATGCATCCCAGAATCATGTTTACTTCTTTTGCAACAGTGTCACACTGATGACTCATATTTAGCTTGTGGTCCACTATGGCCCCTAAATTCCTTTCTGCAGTACTCCTTCCTAGACAGTCGCTTCCCATTCTGTGTGTGTGGAACTGATTGTTCCCTCCTAAGTGGAGTAATTTGCATTTGTCCTTTATAACACTCCTTAACATATTTGAATATTGTTATCACGTCCCTCCTCAGGTTTCCTCCTCATGACTAACTATTACTAGATTTTTAAGCTTTCTTCATAGGGTTTCTTCAGGGTTTCCAAAACCTTTTATCATTTTTGTTGCTCTCCTCTGAATTCTCTCCAGTTTATCCAAAACTGCCTCCTGTGTCTCATACACAACACCGCTGTTAATACACCCCAGAATGTTAATAGCCTTTTTTGCAACGGCATCATGTGTTGGCTCACCATCAATTTGTGACCTATTGTAACTCCCAGATCCTTTTCTACAGTATTTCTGTCTAGCCAGTTATTCCCCATTTTGTAACTCTGTATTTGATTTTTCTATCCTAAATGTAGTAGGGATGGGAAGAATTAGTCGACGATCCGATAAGCAAATGCTTATCGGATAGTCGACAGGGTAGTCGACTAGTCACTCCCCCTCCCATCATTGCTATCAGAAAGACCCCATGCTCCACGCAGCGCTGCTGCTTTGAAATGCCATTTGCAGCCCGGGGCCAGGTGGGTTATCTCCAGGCTGCACACGGCATTTCGAAGCGGCACACCCCGTGAAGCCTGGGGTCAGCTGGGGATTCCCTCCGACCCCAGGCTCCATGGGGCACTGCCACTTTGAAATGCTGTGAGGAGCCTGACACTGGGCTCCCCACAGCATATCAAAGCAGCAGCACTGCACGAAGCCCAGGGTCAGTGGGGGAGTCCCCAGCTGATGCCAGGCTCTACATAGCGCTTTCGCCTTTGAAGTGTAGCAACAGCCTTAGGGCTATTGCTACTCTTCAAAGGTGGAGGTGCCCTATTGACTATTCGATTAGTCAATTACTCACAATTTAACATCCCTAAAATGTAACACTTTGCACTTGTTGCTGTTGCAACTGAGGTCTTTGATCTCGGACCAATATATAATGTGTCTATTAATAATCCAGCTCCCAGAAATGTGATTTTGTTTTGGACTGTGACTTGTGTGCTCCCCTTGTATAAAACTGTGAAGTGAAGTACAACACATCCAAGAAGTGTCCAGGCACCGTGACCTTGTGACCCACGTCCAATAATGCATTAGTTCACAGCTTGCTTTTCAAAAGAGGTAGGAAGGATACAAGGATAAATTAAATAAAAGTAAAACACCACACTGGGAGCTGCAGTAGGAAACATGTCTCATGCTATTTTCAATTACCATCTGGTGCATCAAAAACATTTTTTTTATTTAAGTATCAGAGGGGTAGCCGTGTTAGTCTGAATCATGCATCTGACAAAGTGGGTCTTTGCCCATGAAAGCTTATGCTCCAATACTTTGGTTAGTCTATTAGGTGCCACAGGACTCCTCGCCATTTTTTTTTTATGTGGCCACACAAATCAGTTTTGTGGCCCTGTTCTGACTTTAAAGCCCACCGATAACATGCTGCCAAGGAGGTAAAAGAAAGCTCTGGGCTTGAACCCCAACAATGTTGAAAAGGTCTTGTCTTTGAGCTTGAAGGGGCATGGCTGATCTCCTGCATAATAATCCATACAAGCGCAATGGCATCTACCCAGTTTTGTGAGAGCATCATTACCACAGCATCTGTACTAAAGCCTGAATTTAAGGCTTTGTGGGTTGTTTTTTTTAAGTTCCTAAAATAAGAGTTGGGATTTGATAGAGCTACAGATGGACTGTACTTCAGTTGCAGTCAATTTTTTTTCCCCCAAGGGAAGATTTATGACAATGCTAGGAATTGTTCTGCCTAACTCCCACCTAAGCATACCCCTGTGCAGAATTTATATAAAAACTTAAATCATGCTTTGACAAAGTAGTAGGTCAGCAGAAGCTGCACTTCTGACTATTTGAACCCGAATTTGCACACTTTAGGCCAAA